TCAGACTTAATGTGTGATCTTAGACAATCCATCCCATTCCCTGGACCACATCTTCCCAAGGTTAAGTTTCCTATCTGGACACTCAGTTCCTAAGCAGAGTAGGGGTTTATGGAGTGAATAAACAAATTTCAGCTGGATGGGGGTGGCACACACCTTTAATCCCAGCACTGGGGAGGCAGAGGCAGGTAGGTCTACAGAGCAAGTTCCAGATGTCCATGGCTACCCATAGAAACCCTGTCTGGAAAAACAAAGAGAGAAAAAAGGAAAAATAAATCTTTGCAGTCTTCCTGGGTCTTCTATATGAGCTGGAGAACTTTATGGAGAAAGAATGGAACTGGAAAGAAGGAAAAGGTCGGTCCCATTTCTGAGGGACTCTGGTCATACTCCTTATTGCTACCACCGTGAAGACAGACCACCACCACCCTTTTCTCTTCATCCCTTTCCTTCCTTCACTTTTTTCCATTTTCTTCACCTTATTCAAAACATACTCTGGGGGTTGAGCTGCATCTACAAACCAAGGTTATAGTCCAGTATCTGTGAATAAGACCTTGTTTGATCATCTAGTTACAACAAAGCTGCATTGTATTAAGGTGACTGGAGGAAAATCTGGACACAGATACAGAGAGAGAAAGCCATGAGAAAATAGAAGCAGAAATGGAGGCATCCATAGACCAAGGAATGTCAGGACTTGCTGGCAGTCACAGGAAACTTTAGAAAAGAGACACAGAACAGATGTTCTACTGAGAATCCAGACCTAAGACACTATTGGGCTCCCAGGGCCCCTGAATTCTCTCAGAATGTGTGTTGAAGATGAGTCATCTTTGGATCCACAGCAGGCCTCTGAAACCTAGAAGCTGAGTCCCCCACAAAGAAAGCGGAGATCCTTCCCACTGTTTAGCAGGCAGAGGGTGTCAGTATGTGAGAGTCTTCCTTCTGGGACAGCCCACAGAAAGCAGTTTCCATCACTATACAAGGATGTAGGCTCCAAACCAGTCCTCATCTCAAAGGGAATAAAAGTTTATTCTGGAACCAAACATGAGTAACAATGATCCATGCACATGGATTTGGGTTTTCCAAAATACTATGCTCTACTGTGGAAGTGGTTACATGAAATTTTAATAGTTTCTGAATGAAGATAGCCATAAATCGAAGCATGTACCAAACACACTGGGGGTGGGATTGGGCAAGTGTGAGAATTCTGCTGTAGGTTTCAGATGCTGTCAGATGACATGCTTAGCATTCGGACTAATGAAAGCTAGAGGTCTGCAGTGGACACATGGCAAGGTTTGGTCATTATAAGGATGTTTGGTTAGACACCTGGGCAATGGATGGCTTTCAATCAGACAACGTGACTAAAAATAGCCCAGGATAATTTGGCTGTGTCCTGCAACATGTTAACTTTCCATGATCTCAGAATTTAGTCCTTTGACTTTGTAGACCCCTTAAAACAAGTGCAGCTTTTCTCTTTTCCCTTCATCTTCGTTATCCTTCTTCTTGGAACTTGGGTTCATAAGAATGTTACCCTCATTTCTTTCCACTCACTCTGTAAGTACCTATGTACTTGGAGTGTTTATTATGCTGAGCTCTGGTGGGACACTGGAGAGAGTGGACAGATGGGTGGGAGAGGGAAACACACACACACACACACACACACACACACACACACACAGAGAGAGAGAGAGAGAGAGAGAGAGAGAGAGAGAGAGAGAGAGAGAGAGAGTTCTAACAGTCAGGTTGAAGTTGGAGGCCTGTGAGCAGTATGATGGACTCTTAGCATGAACTTGGGACTCTACTAGTCTAAGCAGGTCTCTAGCTGTGTCACAGACTCCTAGGGAGCTCTTGGTCAAGCTACTGCCTCCCCTTGGGCTCTTGGCCTGGTGTGAGGATTAAGAAAAGTGATTATGTAACAGAAGGGCACAGTAAGTCCTCCATTATCTTTCCTTATTTTCATGACTGCAGAGCTAAGTAAAAATGAAGAATAACTTAGGTTGAGCAGAACCTCTGTCCTATTCAGGCCTCTACCATCTCTGGCCAGGACCCCATCTGGCTGAGTGCTCAGAACAGCTCTAAAGAGGGGGTTAGCCTCACCTCACAAATAAGGGCACTGAAGCTCAGATATGTAAAATAACTGGAGTTCACACATAGCAAGGAGAGTGGTGATTCCAGGGTGCAAACTGAATCTCTCTAGCATAGGGTCTTCCTTTCCTGGATAACCTCTGTACACAGTTTAGAAGTGACTGGGCCTACGACACTCTGTTAAGGCTACAGGTACATACATATACATCATTTACTGGACTTAAGGGTTTGTTTTTTGTTTGTTTTTTCTCAATTATCTACCACATCAGCAATATTTATCAGAAAGTGTCCTGCATAGTTTCTTCATAACTCATTTAATCCCGAGAACCTGTGCAGTGACAGCTCTTTGTCCCATTTTACAGATAAGGAAGTTGATCTGCAAGGGAGTTAAGGAACTTCCCCACTGTTACTTGTGTGGAGGGAGCAGAACTCATACCTGGTCCATCCATTCCAGGGACACTGCCATTAACTGCTGAGGGGAGGAGGGGCTGGGGAGTTAGAGGGTGACAGCTTGTGCACGTAGTAGGAGGCAGAGAAGGACTTATACCTTTTACCACTGCCACCCTTTGGGGCTATTGTTGCCCTAAGAGCATGAGTAATTTGACCTTCTAGGGAAAATAGCAGGATGGAAGCTGTTTAGCCCTGAGGCTGTCTGAGTCAACAACATCTAGTCCCTAGCCCACTTCCTGAATACTCCTTGTGCCTGGGCTTTGAGACCCTTTGAGCACAAAGAGCTCATTTCCTGTGGCCAGGAAAGACGGCACCGGTTCCTGAGGACAGCTCATCTCCCTCATTAAGGCACTCATAAAACTGTTTCAAGGGGCCTGACTTATGGCTGCTGGGCTTGCCAAGCTCCTCTTTGACAAGGAGCCACTCCGGTAATTTGGTGCTAAGAGATGTGTAAGAGAAACCAGGTCCTTTGAGTCCAGGAATTATTTATGGTCCCAAGAAGAGAGAATGTCATTCAGAGAGATAACAAGCCTCCACCAGCACAACAGGCTGTTTAATGTGCCACAGGGGATATGGGCAGCCACTTCAGTGTCCCAGTGCCAGGGAGGAGAGACTTGAACACATGGGTTGTCAGTCCCAAGGGATATCTGCACCAGATGTAGAAATGACCATAGCCAGCAATGACGGAGTCTTACCCACTAGACCAGACCTGTATTACATGGCTACATGGCCTTCATACATTAATTCTCTTGTTTGTTTTGATTTTGATTTTTTTTTTTTTTTGTTTCTTTTTGTTTTTCAAAACAGGATTTCTCTGTGTAGCCTAGCTGTCCTGGAACTAGCTCCGTAGATCAAGCTGACTTTGAACTCACAAATATCTGCCTACTTCTGTCTCCCCAGTGTTGGGATTAAAGGCATGTGCCACCATCGCCCTTTTATACATTAATTCTTTAATGCTTTCAATATTCCTATCCTGTCTTTTTAGTGGGAAACTGAGGTACAGACAGGCTACATAGCTTGCTATAGATCACACAGCTGATGAGTGGCCAAGCAGGATATTAACCCAAATAGGTTTGCGCCTATGTTTGTGCCCATAAGCACCAAATAGTCACAGTTTACATGGAAATTGAATTTTTGTTTTTGTTTTTCCAGACAGGGTTTCTCTGTGTAACAGCCCTGGCCGTCCTGGGACTCACTTTGTAGACCAGGCTGGCCTTGAATTCACCTGCCTCTGCCACCAAAATGCTGGGATTAAAGGTGTGGGCCACCACTGCTCATCTGACATTGAATTTTAAGTCAATCTGATGAGATGAAATGTTCATATATTTGAAATGATCTTGAATAACTCCTTAAAGTACCTAGATAGCTCATTTAAACCTAGGGCTTGATCCAGTAATTCTTGCATGCTACATTAAAATCAGTGAGCCACTGGGATAAACAAGTCTATATGAAATGTTTGTCCTTTTAGGTGAGTTATCAAATCCACAGAGGTGAAGCCAGAGAGAAAAGATTCTAGAGACCCATACCAAGTTGGTGATTCTAATATTTATCTTCTGTGACCTTAACATATGCCACTTGTCATAGAATATATTCCAATCTTGACTGGCAGTTCTATGAGGGATGGTGTTCGTATGCCAAATTAAATGAACCTGATACAAAGAGACACCATTAGAATATAGCCTTGGAGCCAGATAAGCCAGGATTGGAATCTACTGTTCAAGGTACTGGAGGTATAAATGTGGGCAAAGTTTCAGTGTGTGAATTTGTAAAATGGCTATAGCAATACCGCGATTTAGTCAGGTGTAAAATTTCCTATAGCTTAAACATACATAGATGTTGGCCTCTAATAGCTCTTTGGCCCACAGCAGGACCCATCATCTCCAAACTTAGTCTCTATCCTCTGTAATATGGGTATATGGCTTCTGACTTAGAAGGTCATTGCAAGGCAGTGCAAAAGCGCTCTAGAGGCGACGGATGAAGATTCTCTCAACTGCTTGCATACAGTCTTTTTCTTGACTGGAATTGTGAGAGGAGAACACAGGCGAGCCCTGGCCCTTAAGTTCTCATGTCTCCACTTTTTCCACGTGGAGTGGTTGTATGACTTTGGGTGAGTGGCCGAGCCTCTCTAAACTATCAAGTTTATAATATGTACTTCTGAGGTTACCTCGAGAGTTATCTGCAGAAAAGTATTAGGCACATGGTTTAAGCGCGCAGAGCGTTTCCGGAATCTGAATTTCCCTGGCAGGCCAATTTGAGATGCTCTCCATACGCAGAGTAGGAAAAGTACACCATGGTCGCAGCATGGAGCTCAGGTAGCTGAGATGCTCCCAGGGGACCACAAGGCTCCAGTGCCTCCCCACTTCCTTCGCCCTCCCCTCCGTTGCCATGGCCACCGGTTCAGGCCCGGAGCAGCACCAAGGCGTGTTCAGTTCAATCTCCGCCTCTCCAAAGTGACCATTGGCTGGAGAAGCCACGTGACACGCTCCGGTATGCTAATACATGGTAATCTCCCCCAGGCCCCTCCTCCGCGGGCCGCGGCGGGGCAGCCAGCAGGGTGCGCGGCGGAGAGCCGAGGGGGCGGGCTGAGGGGCGGCCCCGGGAGAGCGCGGCCAGGTGGAGGAGGAGCGCGGAGGCCACCGCAGGTAACGGGCGGGCGCGTGCGCGCTGGGGCCGGCTGGCGGCAGCGGGGCGGCGCGCGGGGGACACCCGGCGCGGCGCGACGGGCTTAACCCTTTGGACACTCAGCTGTCACGGTGCGGCGAGCGGGCCGGGCCGCGTGAGGCTGGGCAGCGCGGTGGACACCGGCTCGCGGCGGATCCGGACGCGGCCGCTATGAGGATCTCGCGGGCCGGGGGCTCGCAGGAGGCTGTGCGAGAACCGCCGAAGTCCCTGCGTTCGCGCGATCTCGGGGGCGTGTGGCCTCCTTACGTGGAGAGGCCCGCCCCCTGCGGCCCGTGTCCTCGCGGGGACTGCGGGGACACCGGTGTCCGGCCTGCCCACTGCGCCGCCTGCTCTGCAGCGGCCTGACAGCCCAGCAACTGGCACTTCTGATCCTGAGTTAAGGCTGCTTGGGGCTGCTGGGGGCCGAAGGCGAGATCGAGACAGTGTGCATGGGGACCAAACTGGTTGTTGTTAGTGGAAGGAGAAAACAAGGGCTCCCTCCTTAAGCAAAGCAGGTCCCAAGGTACGAGAAGGACCTGCCACCCATAGGGAAAGATTCCTGCTGGACACCAGGATCTGCTGTCATGTCCAGAGGAAGCTCCTGTTTGGCTTGTTTCTAGTGAATTTCTTATAGTGCTAGGTTTAAATCAACTTCCTCCTTCATCTCAGCTCCTAGGTCTGCTACAGAAATGTTTGTCTTCTAATTACCCCCTCCCCCAATTCACTAAGACCAGTGGCGGCTTTAGGCTCGTGGTGTAATTTAGCCTTCGCCACAATAGAAAGCTAGCGCAGAGATGTGCTGCTAATATCAAGCCAGCCCCGAGAGGTTTAGTGTGGAGGAGAAATGTTCCCCTCTCCAGGGTATGAAGAACAGACTAATGTGCCATGGTGAATGGAGCTTACTTTATGAGTCCGGAATGGTTTGTTCACAACAAGGGGAAACGTGCTTCCACGTGAAAAGCCGCAGCAACCAAACCGAGTTTTGCAAATGAAGTGCAAAATTGTACTTGCAGGCTGCTCTTAGTGTATTTATCAACACAACGACAAACACTTGGTATATGCCAGGCGCTCTGTTGTGTCTAGAGGATGCAACACCGACTAAGATAATTAGCCCTTGTCCTCAGAGAGGTGGTGGGAGAGACAAAATTGTTAGCGGAAGTGACACCAGAACAACAGATGGGGAAGATAGAACACAAGAAGGAAGAATCTGTTAAATGTATCTGAGGTCAGAGAAGACTTCCCAAAGAATATACTTAAGCAAGGTGTTGAAGGGTAAATAGGAGTTTGTCACAAAGATTAGAAAGGACATCAAAACAGAAGGCTCAGTGAATGCTGCCACTAAGGAAAACAGCATCTCAAGGGAACACCCCACCCCTTCTTTTTATGTGGGAAATGGCTTTATATTACAATCATGTCTCCTTTATCATGTAACTTTTTAAAAACTGGTTTATATGTCTCATTATATCACAATTTTCCAGTGATATTTTCCCATATATCCTCCTCATTGGCTTTTTTTAGCCTCACGCCTGGTCTTTGTCACCCATGGCTTCCGAGAAAAGAGAAAAGCAAGATAAGCAGATGGAGAGTGAATTAGCAAAGGACTGCACTCAGGATGATTGCACATACCTGTAATCCTAGCACTTGAGCAACTGAGGCAGGAGGATCTCAAGTTTCAAGCCAGCCTGCTTTGCACATAGAATTCTAGGTCAGTCTGAACGACACAGTGAATTCCAGGCAGATCATAAATAGTGTAAACAGGCCAGAACGTGCTGTTAATGGTGTCAGCCCAGTCCAACTGCAGTCAGACAGCTTGAAACAGCTGTACAGCACAGAACCAGGCCATCTATTGCATGGAGCATTTCCTGTGTCACCTCCTTTCTATACTCCTTCCTTACTACTGTCCTTTCACCCCATTCCCACTATGATTCACTCCTGTAGTTTCTTAAACTGAGATCTTAACTATTAGAGCAGGGACATCCCGCCCTTCACCTTAGAGCCTAGCTCCAGAGCTGCAGTCAGCCAGCCAGCCTGTTCTTACTTCCTGGCCATTTGGAAACAGAGCAAGGATGGGCCAAGAATACACGATAGATCTCACGTCTAAAACTCAGTAATACATGTTTGAATCAGATAATGACTGTTAGGTATACAGAGCCCAAAATTTCTTTTGTGTGTGTGTGGGGGGGTATGCATGTACAATGTGTGTGTGTATGTGATATATGTGTTCAAATGTAAGGGTGGTGTGTGCACGTGCATGTGCACTCATGCACATGCCATGGCATATATGGAGGTCAGACGACAACCTCTGCTGTCAATCCTCACCTTTACCTTTCTGAGATGGGGTCTCTTTTCTGTTGCTACACTGTGTGGGCCAGGCTAGCTGTGGACTTCTTGAGGTTCTCCTGCCTCCATTTCCCATCCCACTGCAAGAGCATTGGGATTACTGACACTCAGGTCCTCACATTGCATGGCAAGCACTATACCCACTGAACCATCTCTGCATGCCCCCCCAATTACTTTTGAGAATGAATCATAGTAAGTCTTTGAAGTATGTCAAAGGTTAAGCTAAGAAAAGGAGGTGACTCAGGTGGTCCCAGATGTGCTCTGGCCAAGCAGACAATTCTGTTAGTGCTATGAACAAGAGATAGCCTCCAAGCAACCTTCTCAGTCAACACAGTGACTGAGAACCTACTTATGTGCAAACACCATGCAGCATTTGTGCTTTGGGGGAGATAGGAAATGAGCTAAGTGGTGTGTGTGTGTGTGTGTGTGTGTGTGTGTGTGTGTGTGTGTGTGTGAAATCAATGGATTCCAAACAGAAGGCAGCAGTTCATCACCACTTTGAGGTATAAAGTATTATACTGATTAAGAAAGGAAAATCTCCGGGTGGTGGTGGCATACACCTTTAACCCCAACAGTTGGGAGGCAGAGGCAGGTGGATCTCTGAGTTCAAGACCAGCCTGGTCCACAAGAGCTAGTCCCAGGATCGGCTCCAAAGCTACACAGAGAATCCCTGTCTCAGAAAACAACGAATAAGAAAGAGAAGGAGGAGGAGTAGGAGAAAAGAAAGGAAAATCATCTGGCACTGTAAGGAAGGGTTGTTCAGAGCTGTGGGAGAGCACACACCTGTAATCCCAGCATGTGGGAGGTAAAGGTAGGAGGACCAGGAGTTCAAGGTCATCCTCAGCTATATAGTGACTTTGAGGCCAGCTTGGACTATAGGAACCCCTGTCTCAAAATGCAAATCAAGGGATGATGCAAATCCAGAGAGCTGGCTTACTGGGTCAAAGCTCTTGCCTTGCAAGCATGACAGACTGATCCCTGGAGCTCATTAAAAGCTGGATGCAAGCCAGGCATAGTAGCATATACCTTTAATGCCAGCACTGGGAGGCAGAGGCAGGCAGATCTTTGTGAGTTCCAGGACAACCAGGGCTACACAGTGAGACCCTGACGCAAGCAAAACAAAACCAAAACCAAAAACTGGATTTGAAACGTCATGTTTGTAATTCTCTCTTTTCCTCTCCCGGGAAGTGGGAGGTGGGGTCTGCAAAATAAGCTGGAAACTCATTGGGCCCACCTGACACTGCATAGGAAATAAGAGCCCCTGCCTCACTGAGGGGGAAGATGAGCACAACTCCTGACAGATGTCCTCTGATGTCCACAGGCAAGCTGCAGCATGTGCCTGCCCTCCAAAATATAATAATAATAACCTTAAACAAGAGCAGCAAAATGAACCCAGAGCCCTGATGGATTCCTCTGGAAGGAAGATGGGAGGAATTCCCGGACAGGAAACACATTGCTCATAAAATATGAAGCCAGAATATTTTGAGAGTTTCAGGGGTCAGCTGACAGGGCTAACCAGTCCAGCAAGCTCAAGTAGACAGATCTTAGGATTAGAAGAGCTGCTTGGAGCATGGAGCAGTAGTCTGAAGAGTTAAGGTTGTATTCTACAGTTGGGGAGCTGAAGATTCCAGGTTAGGTAAGTGTGGCATCATGAAGGTGATATTTGAGAAGATTCTCAGCAGTAGGGTGGAGGCTGGAGTTTGGTAGGGAGAAAATGGTCAGCAAAGTCAGCAAGCTACTTAACCAGTGGGGTGGAGACCAGGTAAGGAATTGGGGTGGCATGCTGAAAATGGGAGGTGAGTCCAGTCAGTAATGAACAGGAGTGGTTGGATATGAAAGATAAAGATGAAATGACATCTGTGTAGTCTTGACCCTGGGTAGGGAGTTAGCCAGAATCAGACAAACCACAGGCAAACCACAGGGAGAAGAGATGGTAAGTGCTAAGTATCTGGTTGCAAGACTAGAACTTCTCAGGAGACAAGCCCTGGGCTTGGGAGGAGCAGGTGACTGGTGTTTCAAAGAGAGAGGTCAGCCAGGAGTCTAGCATGGAAAACATAACTATGGAAGCCATGACATTAGCTGAGTTCACCTAAGGTAACAACATAAAAGTACCTGTGTAGATATCTGAAGATGAGCCCAGAGATTGCCTCCTTCAGGGAGCTGGGGAGAGGGGATAGAGTCCACATGGCAGAGAACAAGTATCCTAGAAGCAAAAGCACTGTTGGACTTATTTATGTGACAAAGGCATCCTACTCACAAGGTGTGGTGTCTCTGATGGACACATGGCCAGATAGACATAACAGACACACTGTTGGCCAAAGGTATAAGCCAAGAGAAGGGTTGAGATGGAGAAATTAGCCCACAATGTGAAATTGTACAGAGTGTGTGAGGAGTGTGCATTTTATCTAATAAGCAGGAGGCCATTTATAACACTAAGGATTGGGATAAAGAGAGGTGCACAACACAAGGTTCAGATTAGAAGTGGCAACAGTGCATAGATTATCCTTTTATGTTTGCCACTGGAGAAGAGGAAAGCAGTTAGATTCCTAAAATATTCTGTTTCTTTTAGTAGCAGTTTATTTCTGTGTGTCCCTGCATTTGTGTGGGCCAGTGTGTGTGTGTCGGGGAGGAGGGGTGCATG